CCCTCCCAAATACAAACGCACACACTCGCGCGCGTACTTCTTTTACAGCTCCCTCTGCTTCACGCACGTCTACTAGGCATTTTCCTGGATTTCCTGCGGTGCAGTGAGAGCGAGCGGTCGGTAGGGGGAGGCGCATGGCAGCGAGGTTAGTCGGCCAGAGGGGAAGCCTTTTGGCGCGCAGGCCGGCACAGGCACTACCATCACTAGCAGCACCGCATTCGAAGCAACGACGAACATTGCTCCACTGAGTGCAGCCGGCCCGGGCCCCAAACGGCCGGGTGACTCACGCGGCGACACCTCGCTTCCCACATTAGAACGGACCGAGGTGAGCTGCGGATGAGATGGGCGGGCAGTGGCGACGAAAGCCATCGTCTGGCAGCCAAAGGGGAGAACGGATGAAGCCCAGGCGGGCATCAAGTAGGCGGGTTTATGCCATCATTTTAAAGAGCCGTTTGATTGGGCCTATCGCTATATCGTTTGGATGACGTTCGGTTCAGGAGCAGCGCCACCAGTCACGTTGGTGATGCACCTGCACGGCCGGTAGTGGTGTGCAACACCTTGTTTACCTTGTTTTACAACCAGAGCGTTATAAAGTTTAGAGCCTAGCATAGCAACAGAGCGGGGAGTTTAATTGTTGGCGCTGTGCACCATTGTCGATGTGTTTGATTGTTGTTCCGTTCGTTTCTCAGTCTCAGGCAGGGCCACTAAACGTGTTTAAAACACAGAATGCTGTCCGCGAAACACCTCAGCCCCATCCCGGCGCCCCCGCTGATGCCTGAGAACTCAAAACTTCATGATCATTTTTATTAGGAGGGATCGAAAAACAGCTTCATTCGTATAAACTACCATTACGGCCCCTGTATATGCGCTGTTTTATCGCGCCCTAAAAGCGAGGCAGCAAACGATTAGGAATTTTGAGACATACATCCCGACAGCAGAGTTCGGCGGCAAGAGGAATCGAATGAACTCAACATCGCTCCCACCCGTATCTCTCTATCTCACTCTATCCCTCTCTCGTTGTGCGTGTGTGGCACTTTTCTTGTCTCGCTTGCACTCATTGGCAGGTCCCCGTGACCTTTTATCGTATCAATCGCCCCAATTGGCATTGCGTGTTGGCTGCTCAAAGGGCGCCGCTGCCATAATGCTAAACAAAGACAGGGCTCTGGTTCCCCCGCCAGCCCTCTTCTATGCGTGCCACAAGAGGGAAAATAGACAACAAAAAAAGACCGCAATAAGCAATTACTTCAATTTTGTACAACTATTCTTGTATCAAAAGCAACCTTTCTTGGAATGTCAACTAGATTTTGCTAACTTTCTGACCAACAAGGGTTTTTTTTTTAAAGTTTTATGATATTTTCAACGGATTGTATTTTACCCTCCCGACATTAAATTGTAATTTTAAAAAGCCGTCAAGCTTGGATTTCAAGACGGGTTATTGATAAGATAATCTGGGCAACTTGGAACACATGAAAAACTGCTTAGAAAACAACATACACGTACTGCTTTTCCAGCTGCATAATACGCACTGTTTGATATTACTCAAACTGCTTGGAATCTGGTACACTCGGCTGTAAAACCAAGATCTTGTCTTTTGCTGATGTGCTGTTAACATCGTGGAAACTGCAAATAGTCATAGACCTAGCCCTTAAGTTGGTCGACCGAATATCCTTCCGGATATATAAGAAGCACGAGTAGAGTTAACATTTAGGAAATGAGCGCAAAGTTGGTTTGGAAAACATATCAAGGGCGCCAGTTGCTGGTGGACCTGCTCGGAGGAGGGACCACGTGGCCCGACATCGTCGCGTGCGGAGAGGCGTGGCGAAGCCGGGACGCGGCGGGCCCTATGGGCGCTATGGGCACACCGCGTGTACTGTGACTACTACGGCTCACTCTTTTACCCACAGCAGGGGGCACCACACACACACAGACACACAGACACACACACACACACACACACACACACGAGAAAGTAGCCCTCCTCCTCGCCCCAGGATGATTGCAATGGGCCGCATAGGTAGCCCAAGGGCCCCCATAGCGCACCGCGCAGAGCCGGGCAGAGCCAGGCAGAGCCGGGCACCCACCCACGAGCACAGCACTTCGATTGCAGAACGGTGCACCGGATTGTTTATGAGAATGTGTGCGCCCCTCTGTGATTAGTCCAGAGTGAGCAGCAGTAAGGAAAGGGGGAGATTGCCGGACATTGGCATTGTATGGAGAGGGAGAGAGAAGAAGAAGAAGAAGAAGAAGAAGAAGAAGAAGGAGAGAGAGAGAGAGAGAGAGAGAGAGAGAGAGAGAGAGAGAGAGAGAGAGAGAGAGAGAGCGAAACACGCGAGTAAGGACACGGACCGAAACTATTTGGAACGCACGCTGGGAACGAGACGTGCCTTCTGGGGGGTCGCGCCTCTGGGTGAGCGGAGTACGACGTACGTCTCCTCGTACAATGGATCGCCAGAAATGGACAAAAATAATCAATGAGTCGAGAAAAGCCCCGGCACTAACCTCGCGAAAGGTCGAGGGAGGTGATCTTCCCCTGCAGCACGATGTCGTTGACGGAGGAGGCTTCCGTCCGTGAGTCCCAAAACCGGATCCGCTTGTCAAAGTGGCCGCTGATGATGGTAGTCCCCGAACCGTCGCCCGTCACCAGGTCGTTACAGCTCGAGCCTGCAAACTTGGTCTCGATACCTGAAAGGAAAAGAGAGAAAAAACAATCACCATTATAACCAAATCCCTTACCGGACCGAATCGTAAATAAACGGCGATGAGCAGCGATGCCCGCTCGCATAATCAGGTGGGGCATTCCTAGCCCCGGCCAGTGCAGAGGTGGCCCCTCCAGCTCGGCCGCCGTCGTCGGGATTCGTCATTTCCGAAAAAAAGAGGAACTGACCACGAAAATTTGGGCCAGCGCTGAATGCCGTTCGGGCGGACTTCATTCTTAGACAAAAAATATTTAATGGGTACTAATTAATGTCGGCATTCTATTGATACATCGACGCCACAATCAGCTTAATCCGAGTCGTAGGAAAATTAATTTAATCAAAAGCTTGCGTTTGGTATCTCCAAGAAGTACTAGTCCGCGGAGCCTGGCCCCGGGGGCCTACGCTGGAGCAGCATCAGCACCGGAGCGCCAGACCCTCCTCCTCTAGTCCGCCAACCACGACGCCCCAGTCCATTCCAACGCATTATCAATTTACGTTTCACACCAAATTACATGCGACAAATTGACACGGCGCGCCACCGTGCTCGGACTAATTAAAAATACCACCTACGGGGTGCAGTGTCTGCTGCCGCTGCTGCCGCTGCTGCAGCTGCCGGACAGCGCCGCCGGCACCATGCACTGCCCTATTAATTGCAGGGGTGGCGCGACAACGCATGTAGCGCACTGTAATTTGTCTACCTTTTATTTGCATCCGAATTAATTTACCGCGGCGACGGGTGACGGGCTGACGTCGTGTGGGAGGGTAGGGCTGCGCGGCGCGGCGCGCCAGGGCGTGGCGGACAGCAGGAGGAGGAACACCACCACCATCACCACGTTGTCCATCACGTGTGTATGTGTGTGTGCATACTCACACGCTCGGCTCCGCAGGTCCCAGATCTTGAGGGTGCGGTCGTGGCTGCCTGTGACCACCTTGGCCTGCTCCAGGAACTTGGCCGCCATCACCTTCCCGCTGTGGCCCGTGAGGGTGTGCTGCCAACAAACAAGAGGAAAAAAAGCAATAATCAATTAATTCTCGGTGGAATAGACTGACTGTCTGGTGGACTTGATCCGCGCGAGTGACTCACTCCTGACACACATGTCGCTCCCTTGCCCGATTATGATGCAAAAATAGACACGCACTCACTGACACACACCGACGCTGGCATCTTTTGGCGCGCAGAAGTAGCACTTGCCGCTGAGCGCGCGCGCGACACGCTCCCCGCCACGCGCGGCGCCACGCGGCACTTTTGGACGCTATCCAATGGAATTCCGCCACCTTTCGAAAGAGCCGGGCGGCTGCCGCACCGCGTCCTCTTCTCTCCCTCTCCACGAGCTCTCCAGCTTCCCGGATTCAATTACCGAGCAAGACACGCGTGGATGCGGGTCTCATGTGTTATTATTAGCCTTCATGCGAGCGCGAACTGAGGCAGAGTTGAGGAATAATGGAAGAGAGAGAGAGAGAGAGAGAGAGAGAGAGAGAGAGAGAGAGAGAGAGAGCACCCTGAGCACTGCTTACAGTCTTGCACGAGCGAACGAGAATGTGGCCGAATCTCTTCGGTCCACGCAGGGCCGACCAACCTCCCTCACATTGCGGATATTTATTGCGCTAAGTCGTTGTCTTGCTAACGGTCTGGCTTCGCATACAGACAGCGGGGCGCACGGCCAGACCACAGCAGACTGAAATGCGTGGGAAATTTATCTCCAACTACATCATTGCGGCAGAGAGAAAGGGCATTTCCGCACAGTCTGTGCTGCCGATATTGTGGCGCGCGATCATGTACTGGGAAAGGAAGCAAAATAACCGAAAATCACAAGTTCCAGTGGCAATAAATGACATTGACACATCGCGAGCTAGCTTTGATTGCCTCTGATGTTGAATGTTCTGTGCACGAAAGGTGATGCGATGCAGTCCCGTTCTTGTTACCTGACGAACTTTGCACAGTTTGTGGTAAGAGTACACACGAAAGCGCACGCACGCACACACAAGAGCACATACGCACAGAAACACCAGAGTGTGCGCACAAGGCCTGTATTCGCACTCAGAGTCACCGTCGCCCTCACCACAGCAGAAAGGACATACCACAAACAAATCCAAATACACCTCACTCCCTATCTCATTCTTGCTCTCTCGCTCTCTCTCTCTCTCTCTCACACACACATACACGGGCCTTGCAGAACGCGGTGCAGGGCGGACCGAAACACACACATACTCTCAGATACATGTCGGGGACATGTGTCCGCCGGAGTAGCGGAACCTCAAGGGAAACACGCAGGATGTGTGGTCGGTCTCGCCAGGACACAAATAAATTGATAAAAATTTAAACACACAAGCAGAAGCGAGCGTAGGGCACAACCCCTGCAGATTTGGCGCCAGGGGCATTTGCACATACTACTTCCAGACCAGATAACTGGCTAGTGTGTTACTTGAACTCCCCCCCCCCCCCCCCTCGCTCTTCTTTCTCGGATCACTCGTTCGTTCCACCGATTAATGCAAATAAACGCGACAAAACGACAAAAGGAGGGACAACTGAGGCGACCTTCCTAAAAGCCTTCATAAAATACGCCAAACTGGGGCCCGCACCGCCGCCTGGGCGGGGCCGCCACCTTGGAGGGAGACTCGCTTTACGGAGCGGCGCCGACAGCCGTCTGGGTGGCCGCGAGTGTCGCCCACAGGGCTGGCTGGCCTGCCAAACAGTCTGGCATCATTGGCTTCACCTGATTAAAGCTCTGTTTACCCCGATTCGTTTTGCCAACCACGAAAATAAAATACAAGTACACAAGGCGGCAAAACTAAAGCTTACGTTTCAGATGTTTGCCGCTCAGCCTCTGCCCCAGATCAGTGCGTCATAGCTCTGAAATGGTGTCAGTGAATCGACAACAAATGCCCGCAAGTGCTATCAAAAGTTTTGAGCACCGCAAGAGCCTAGGGAGTAAGAGGAAGAGGCTCTTCTTTACACTTACTTCCCACCCCAAGGCGAAGACGAAGGAGGGGAAAAAAGACAATGCAAGCAAACTCATCGCTGTTGAGCCCCCCAGTCGGTCAGTGGGTTGGTAGCCACCGTGCGCTGCCGCTGGCCCATGCTGGGCGAAGCCAAAGCGCCCATGGAGCGGCAGCGCGGCGGCGGCGACTGCAGCCACCTTTCCCAAAAGGCGCCAAACACGGCGAGGGTCTCATCAGGGCGCGGGGCGGCGCGGGGTCAGGCCGGCGGCTACTTGGTAATTGCATACGCTGCGCACAAAGAGCGAAAGCAGGCGTGCCAAAACCAAATCTGTGGTCAAGAGGGAGAGCGCCCGGCTGCAAACCCCGGCTGCGAATCCCGTCTGCACCGGGCCGCATCTCGGATCGGTAGGCTTGGCCGGACATGCAGTGGGAACAAGTGACTCGCGTTGTGCATCGAGAGAAAAAGTGAGCCCACCAATGACGTAGGCGCAACATCTTGTCAAGTCGTTACTCAGCAGTACAAGCATTTTTCATTATTCAGTACGTGCTTACCATAAGCGTCAGTTGGCCGGGTGGCCAGGTGAACGGAGCAGCCCACAAATGTCACAGTCAGGCCGAGCAGGATGGCCAAGGGCTCTAAAGGGGCGATCGCGTGCAAAACCAGCCCCATGCTCTAGTCATGCGATTCTCATTACCTCCAAGAACAATTTTTCTCGGGTGGATTTCGCAATAACACGCCACGACGCAAAGCAATTCATAACGCATGACACTTTTTCATATTTTTAATTTTTTATTTTCGCGAAACAAAGAAATAAGGAAGCCCAAACTACCATCGAATGGTGGATAAGGGACAACCATCGAAATATGGCTGCGGCAGGACTGGCAGAGTTTTGCCAACCACGAAGACGTATAAGCACGGCAATTTCCGAGTTTATTACGGCTATGTGAGTGTTCGCACAAGCGTACTCTTTATAGTTGTCTCTTATCTACCAGAGAGAGTACCACCGACAGTGCCAGTGAGATGGAGCTATGGTCAGGAATAGAGTGTCTCACTCGCAGCTGTTCGTTTTCGGACCAGCCCAGCACTGGTGGACGGCGGACAACCCGTTGCTCACCTCTGTTATCTACCGTAAGATGATTGCTTATCTTCGTTTCTCCTCTTTCTAGGAGCATCCGTCTATCCACGAGCCGACCATGTAGAGTATCAAAATCGCAACACAGCCTGATATCCAATTCGAAGACTCGTCAAGATATCTGGAGCTCCAGGAACTTGACACGTAGGCGTAGCGCCCGAGCGGTCACGATAGGCACACCCGCCGAACGGCGCTGTCGGGCCCCGTTGCCTACCCTGCAGGCGGCCCCTGCGGTGTGGCCGGGCCAGTGTGCGCCCGATAAGCAGTCATCGCAGCCGTGTAGGTGGTAATGACGCTCGCCCTGCTGCAATTAACTGCATGGAACATCAATAACAATTTCAATCTGCTCGCTGTTGTAAGTCGATGGTTTCAGCGACACATTACCGAACGAGGCCCGGCGGGCACCACCCTCCGCGCAGATAACCGTCTAACGAGGGCATATTCGACGAGTCCATGTTTTTTTCTCAAGGGAAATCAATTAGAAGACAAACAAGCAAAGCCAGCAGTACGCGTGCTGCCGCTCACGCCCTTTCCGTGTTGGCTGGCTACCCACCACACACGAAGGTACAAAATGGAGGTAAACACCATGAACCAAGGCAGTCAACGTAATTTTTTGACAAATTGGTACAAGATACGAGCAGAAAATTATTTTTCCTCTGTTACCACCAGGGCATTCCGTATTAGAGCCGAAAATACACTAAGTGGAAAGGGGTGCTATTTTCATGCACCAGCCCGAAGCAGACACTTTTGAAGTATTTGTTATCGCAGTCGCAGTGAAGGACAGACAACGATGGTCCTCCCCAAGGAGCGCAAAAGCTGACCGGTCACTCCACTTGAGAGGTGGGTGTGAGGCGAGAGGTAGGCGCGCAAGCACAGGTGAGGAGAAATAACAGTTTGGAGAGGCCCCTAATGGAGGGGGGATATATCGCAAACGGCTTTGGCAAGTTCGGCGTGTCGGCGGGCTCTAATAACACAGATTATAACGGCGAAGGCACAATGTCATTGAACCGCGAGTCAGGCACGGCATAGGCATCTCCTCCACCATTCAGCAAAATGTGATTCCCGGAGGATCCCACGGCGGGAACGATAAATACTGGAGAAATTCGCTTAAACAATGACACGCCTTACGATCAGGCATCCATCCCGGTTGGGTTTATCAGCACCTTATCATCGCATTTTTATGAAGAGAAAGGCCGGGGGTGTGGGTGGCCTTCAATGGAATGTTGCGCTACGGATGAGTTATGATTCCTGCCAGAAAAATACAAACGTGCGCGGGCGCCCAAGCGACAGCTGTCGCCTGAAGCATTTATTCAAAACGTATGTGTCCATACATCTTACTTCATTTGAAAGAGGCAGACTGATTCCGTCTTCAACATAACGCAAAATTATTTTTGTGGTAATTAAATTATTACTGTCAGTAGCGTACTGACTGTGTTAACAAGAGCGTGCCAGGATTTCAAACTATTTCTATTTTACCCACGCACAAACACGACATTCAAGAAATCTCAAAGGAAAAGAGAGGCTGGTCATCATTAAAACGGGCCCCTACATTAGGAGTTCGCACCTAACAGGTTCATGAAGTCGACATTAGGGCGCGAAGCTGGACTCAGCTGGACTTCCCTTGGGCGAAGCAGAGTTTTAACCGACGGTCCGTATTTAAAATAATATACAACACGCCATGCTCCACATTGCTAGGCCAAACCCTCCAGAAACAAGTGAATGCTGCCGCAATCTAACACTGTGAAAAATATATTTGTACATATACGATGCGGATGCGATATATTTTGTGATTTGCCATTTACAATACGAGTCGTACATGTACTACCTCACCCCTGGGAAGTTGACTGGCCCGCAACGACTAAGGCAAAATCGGATGTTAGATTTTGCAACAGTGGACTCTCACGTACTGGCGAAGGTGGTGGCGGCAACTGGTCTGCCGACACTCT